GTTCCATAGGACTTGGACCTACCCTGTTCTTTAATTTAATGACCCCAAGTGCAAAAAGAAAGACATTGCCAGTGCAACAGAGACAGAGACAAGGTTCTTTGTGCAGAGCAGTGCAGATGGCACCCACGTCCTGGTGAAAGCAATTAGAAGCTCATGCTAAAGCAAAATAAAGAGGTTAGGACCATTTGTTGCTTTGAGAATTCTGTCTAGGAGAGGAGGCACAGCTTTGCAGACTGTGAGATGGGAGATGTTGGGTATAATATGCAAAGGTCGGATTCACACACGCTGCTTCAATTCCAGAGGTAATTGCACCAAAGTTAACAGATTTGCAAGGATTTACACCCTCACAGAAGGCAGGAGAACATGGCCCAGAAGAGACAGAGAGGGGAGAGGCCAGCTGGAACGATGAGCAGCACAGGATTTCCATGTCTTGACTTTGGGATCTGAAGGTCACAGACAGGGATTTGTGTTACGCTGCCAGAGCTGAGGGTCCAGCTCTGTGTGCTCAGGGGTGTGTGCTGGAGGTTCCCCCTGTTTCCCTGAACTTGAGTGCAGCTGGACTTGGGCTATGGCTGCCCTCAATTCACAGCACAGACTTGGCACACAACCCCAGGAGCCCTTGAGATATCAGCCCTGTACCAGTGGAAGATGTGTAGCAAAGTTTTTCCCCGAGGGTCTCCCCTCCAAACCCCTTCCCCTCTCCCTGTGTCCTCTCTGCTGCTAGAGAGTGGGAAAGGCTCACAAGATTTGGACCTGAACAGGCAAGTGGTAGCCAAAAGAGAAACTTGAATTTCTGTGACCAGAAAACAGTGCAGAAATCAGGGTTTGGTCTTGAGGGAGAAACCAACCTGCTGAGTGGCTGAGGAGCACAGTGGCAATTCAGGCCATGGCATGGAGCACAACAAAGCAAAGGCGTGGGGAGAGTCAGATCTTCAGGGTGGGTTGACCTTCAAATGCTCTTTGAGCACAGCTTCTCTTTTCATGAGGAGTTAATAGGTCTCAACTAAGAGAGACTAATAAGATCTTTCTGATTGGCAGAAAAATAGGGGAACTTGGCTTTACTGACAAAGAAAAGGTTTGTTTTCAGCTATCCTAGATGGCATTAATGGTCCCATAATGTGCAGGGTTCTGCTGAGGGAGAGGTCCCTGTAAGTGAGGTCAGCTGCTGGCCTGCCTTGGGTGCTGTCTGGCCTCTCTTCACTGGGGGAGAAAAGATGCACCCTGGCATCCTTGCCCAAGTGCTTTGAACTTCATTCTGAGGCTGATAATCATTTTGCCGTGCAAAAACCACTTCTGTGACACCAATGGCAAAAGCCTAAGAAATTAAATCAGTAGAAGTGAAATCTCTGCATAATAACCTGGCGTGGCTCCATCAAAATCCTTGTTTTGTCATGGGAAGCCTTCCTTTAGAAGGATAAACAAACAACCCTCCCTCAGTGAGGCCAAGCCTTGCCTCTCCCCAGAAAGAAACCTTTCATCTTTGCAGGAAGGGGAATGGCTCTCCTTGTTGCAGAGGTGTTGATGATGCTGAAGGGAGAGCTGCAAAGGCTTGTTCCCCTCCCTGTGCCCCCAGCCCAGCAGCAGGAGCTGCTGTCCCACACCCTCGTCCTGCCTCACCCCAGCCTTGGCACAGGTCAGCCCCTCTGCTGGGCTAAGGAAACACTCAGCTCATTCTGCTGGGCTGTCTCTGCAGCCAGGAAGGTGCCATGAGATGAGGAATTGAGCCAACACCTTCTCCCAGCCTGCTGATGGTCCTGGAGGGCGCAGAGCCTTGCCCTGCACTGCTCATCCCTGGCTTCAGCTCAGCTTTGAACCCCAGTTCCAAACGGGAGAATATTCACCTCCTTCCACACAGGGCAAAGAGGGACGTTCCTGTGAGATTTTAGGGGTTTTTTTTCTTTATGAAAGTGGCTGGCAGGCTGTGATGGAGCTGAAGAAGTAGCTCTGGATTCAGAGAAGAAAGAAACCCGGACTTTTTCCCCCTCTTCCCTGAGAAAAAGTAATTTACGTAAATTTATCCACGACCAGCACACGGCAATAGCTCACAAGTTTGTTAATGGAAACCTGGTGATCCATAACACTTGTGTGGGAGATATTTGCTCGGGGGTAATACAATATTAATGTTAATATCAATGATCGATCAGAGGATTTGCAAGAAAGGCATAAAGTATTTAATTATAATTACATTGGGAATGGCTTTGTAATGGCTACGACATTTGAATAAGGTCACGTCTAGCCCTCACCCCTGTTATGTTGTTCTATATTAAATGCCATTCACTTTAACTGCTGGAAACCTTTCTGGAGTCGTCAGAATATAATATACTGGGTAAATTGAAATATGTCCCTTCATTTTTCGAAATATGATTGATATCCTTTGCAAAACAAATGTTAACACCTATTTGTACACAAATTTCTTTGATTATATGTTAGGGAAACTAAATTATGACAGTCTCTCCTAGCAGGCATTTTACTGTGAGCAAAGGACATGGCTATTGTGAATATTAATTCATCTTACAGAAAATGGCTTTGGATCTCCGCTGTAAATCCACTTGGGTGTATTTCTGCCTTTCCTAATATATTAATTCTACATTGATTAGTAGCCATAAACTTCTTCTCCACAATGTTCACCTTACCCAGGTGTTGCTGAGGAGGAACTTTTGCTCTCACTGAATTATCTCTTGTTAACAGCATCAACCAAGAACACATAGTAACAATCATTTTTGCATGTTTCACAGCAGAAAATATGTATTGCAAATATACTGCAGGTGTGTACCATAACTATCAGCCCAACAGCAGCATTGCCATGTTTAAAATAATCAGGAAAAAAAAAGATCTGTGTATAAAACAGGAATATTTATCTGTAGGCAGGATCCCAGAGGTGCACAAGAACCCACCCACCACGGGTGCATGCAAACACTGAAGCACTAAGTGAGGACATGCTCTTCCCACACCTATTTATTATAAATATAATATATTATAAACAATAAAAGAGCAAATTCTCGTCCCTCTTCAAATGAGAATCCATCTGTGAAGTTCCCCCCACAGAGGTTTTCTTCTTTTTCTAATATCAATGTAAACAGCAGATCAATCAGGTCCAAAGAGTCAAATTTTGCTTTCAGATTTTCTCCCAGAATAACTGTTGATTCACAGAGAATTGAAAGCTCCCATTTGAAGGCAGAATTTGGTCTCAAGAAATCATCCCTCCAAAGTTTGGAGGACATGCAGTGATGTAATTGACATGATTTTCCATTTTCACTTTTCTGAAGGAGAAGCAAAGACTTTTGCATGCTGTAGAAATGCTTGAAGAGAACAAGTTTTATAGTTTTCCGAAAAATGGGCATTTATTACCAATCAGTGTGAAATACCACTGATGGTAAATTTTAAGTATATGGCAGGAGTTTCAGCATCATGACAACATACATCATGCATTTTTACAACATATAAGTGCAGTGATATTGCTCCCTTTCTCAATAACAATATATAAGAATATATAGTATAAATGTACAGTATATATTAGACACAATGTAAAATAACTTAGTGAAATGTCAAAGCTTCTGCATAAAAATTCAAGTCATGCCTGAGCATACCTCTATGCTGAATCTTATCTCATATACCTTCATTTACCTTTAGTTCCTGTTGCAAAGATAATTTTATCTCTGCATTTAATTGCTTAAAACCATCAGAATTCTTGTCTTTTTTTTTCCTTTTATCTGCAGTAGGTGAAGACTGTAATAGCCAAGTGAAAGCCAGGATTTTGTGGACCCTTTGCTAACACTGTTTATGTTCTGGGAAGCAATTCATTGTGAACAAGTTGTATAAAAGCAGCTTCTTAAAAGCTTGTTACAGTTCATCATTGTCCATCAGATTCTGTTCCAAAATATCCCACTGCATGTAAATGATAATGAAGTGGCTTTCTCAGAAATGGAGCTCATGAGCTAACATTGATATCTGGAAATTATAAATCTCACCAGTTTAGCTGAAATCATATCAAGCACCACTTTGGTAATTGCTTGCAAGAAGGATCAATAAAAATCTGTTTAATGGGAATATACAACTTGTCTCAGAGCAGGTGGGTGGAATTTTAGCTTTGCTCGACACTCGACAGAGCTTTTTGCAGTGCCAGGTTTCCCTTCACACTTGTTAAATGAAATATGGTTAAGGACTTTTCTGCAGCATCTCAGGAAGATTTCTGATAGTACAAGGGAAGAAGTGTTGGGGTTCTTTTTAACCAAGGCATTAAGAGACTCTTTGACTGTCACATTAGCCATCAAAGTACCAGAGCTCAGCGTCCTTGCAATTAGGTCTCTTGGAATTATTTTGAATACAACTTCACTTCAACAATTTAAACAATTCTGCCCCGAATATAAACAAAAATATACTTGAAATACTTATTAACGACTACGTTTCCTAATGAACAATGAATTAAAGCTGCAAAACAGTTTGAAATAAGATGTTAAAAGAAAAAAATCAGGGAAGACAGAGTGATTTTCTATAATTCCTTTAAAGAAACAGATTTCCACCCCCTTGCCCCCCTACATTCCCAGCCAGTGTAAGTCGAAAGAATTACACTGTTTTAGATCAGCTTAAGTTCTGACCTATATACTCCAGTGGAGTTAATCCTAATTTCCACCACTGAAAGTGGGATCAAATTCACTTTGTCTTTAATAAAGCAGTGGATGATAAGCAAGTCTCTTCTCTGTCGGTTTCTGCTTGAGAAAGGAAATTCTTTGTGGTGCTGAATGATGTCCAGGACAGTTTAGAAAATAAAGCTAGAATTTCAGAAATGTCAGCATGGTGAAGACCAATATTGGTAACAGCTATTTATGCTTTAATCTTAGCAAAGTTCCTTGGGTACAGACAGGGCATCAGCTGGTGTGGTGAGTCTGTAACCCTTTCTGAGCACAGCTTGGGAGGAAAACGAGGAGGCAGGCAGCTGATTTTCAGTGACATGAGGCTGCTGAACACACTGACTCAGACTTTGTTACCACCAATAAATAACATCACATTGTCCAGAACTGGAGATTAATATGCGGGGCCTCCAGGAGGTGATATTTATTTTCTTGCATGTTATACTGAGACCTCAGGACAGGCAAAGGGTCGGGGGCTGAAAGGATGTAATCGATGCTGAATTTGATTTCAGAATCCGATTTTGCTAGGGAGGAGCTGCTCAGGCTCTGCCTGCTGGTCACGCTGTTTGGAGCAAACCCACAAGGCTCCAGAAGTTTTGGACCCGGTTCAATTCTTTCATGTTTACTTTCAGAAGAGGAAATGTTGCTCAAAGCAGAGTCCACAGAAGAGATACTGGGGGATGAAGGACTTTTCACTCTGCTCGGTCTCTGCTCCTTGTGCTCCTTTTTCACGTTCCTCCTCCTCCGTCTTCTCCTGTAATTCCCGTTTTCAAAGAGATCCAGCATGGATTCGCATCCTGCTGCAAAGCTCCAATAGTTTCCTTTCCCCTTCTCATTCCCTTCTGTTCTGGGAACCTGTATTTATTTAAAGGCAGTTCAGTGTTTGTATGTGTTACAGATGCTGCTGTTTAGCATCTGCATTCATTTACATTTAAGAATGGTGTAAACACATATGACAAGACTTTTAAGCCTATTCTCTGTCATTATATGAGTAAGATGTAAGCCCCATCCTCTTCAATTTGTTATCTATTAGCATACATCAGACAAGGATATAGTCCTTATCTCTCTAATTGACAACTCAGAGAGATTTTAAGTGATTTGCAGCTCAGCTGTTTGTTTCCCTTCTTTCCTAGTGATGAGATTATTGCTGCCAGTATTTTTTTAGCCATGCACAGTGTGTATGTAAATACACAGTAACTGATCTTACCTTCACAAAACAACTGTTAAGCGATAAGTTATGTCGGATGGAGTTCTGCCAGGCTCTTTGATTTGATCTGTAGTAAGGAAATTTCTTCATTATAAAGTCATAAATGCCAGAGAGGGTGACTTTATTTGAAGGGCTTTGCTGGATGGCCATTGCAATTAAGGCAATGTAGCTGGAAAAAGGAAAACTTGCTGTTACACCATCGCCCTACTCACAGACTCAGTTTTAAGGACCACACGGGTACATGTGTGCCTATATCCTGCTTCCAAAATTCCCCTGGTGGATCTGTGCCCTGACTTGAGGTGTCCCGGGGAGAAGTCTTGAGTGTGGTCCCTGCCTGTCCTCCACGAGCCCCAGGTGACACAGCGGGGTCAGTGCCAGGCACTCCGTGCAGAGGACAGGATCACACACACCTCTCCAACTCCCTCTGAAAAGTTTTTCTGAGCAGGAAGGCTGCAGTGAGGCAGAGCAGGCTCAGAGTCACTGTCACAGGAGACCAACCCTGCTCATGGAAAGGACCTTGGGTGTCCCTGTGAACACCTACACTGCGCCTCTCCCCACCACACTGGGGTTTTCTGCATCCAATTCACCCCTTGCCACACTGAAACATTTCATTCCCTTCTCCCAGGGGTCCTGGAGGTTGGAGACTGTCTGAGATCTGGAAGCTTAAGGGCATGCCAGAGTTGCTGTGACCCTCATGGGAGGAAACAAATCATGAACACTTCACACACAGAAAGGGGGGAAACCTGCCCACTGCAGTGCCTGCAGCAGGGCCAGACCCTTCGTGCACACCTGGCCCCATGATCCCACCAGCCCAGAGCTCAGAAACCTCACAGAGACAGGGGGACTTGGAAAAACTTCATCTTACCTGTACGCTGGTCTGGTGAATTTTTTCTCTTCGTCAGAACTACAGGTAGGATAATCATCCCCATCGTAATTGAAGCAGTTGTAGGGGTACTGCGTGTTGTCAAACATCGTCCTGCTCCTTGCTCAGCTCCTGTGGAGTGAGAGAGATGGAGTGATGTTTCTCAGAGCTTGGACTCCCTCCTCCCTTCTTCCCTCCCCTCTGTCTGTCTCATTCCCTCTCTCCCCCCTCCTCACACTCCCTCTCCTCCGTGCACACACACACACTCTCTCCGTGATGGGGTGGGGATTGTTTTTGCAATTCTCGCGTCCCAGCCAGCCCGTCTGCCCGGATATTATTTTTTGGGGGGGTGTTGTTATTGCTGTCCTCGCTGTTTCCCCCAGCAGGGTGGCAGGGCAGGCTGCTGGAGGCTGCTGGGGCTGGGAATTGGGGTGAGCATCCAGACCAGGGGCTGTGCGGTGCCGGTAGCCGCGCTCCTCTCGCTGGGTGGTCCTGGCTGGAGAGGGGCCAGCGCTCCCCCAACACATCCACAACGTGACAAAGGCAACCAGCATGATGTTAATAAATCATGCTTCAAGGTCCCTGCTTGGAAATTAAACTTTGAGAACGGAGTGCAGCTCCCCACAGCCCCCGTGTGCTCCCCCTCTGGGTTTTTCTCTCCCCTTTCTTAATTATTTATTTTTAGAAAACCAACGTACAATAAACAGACGTTCCAGGCAGTAATGCACGCTTGTCCTGATCTGCAATCTATAATGCACTATAATAGACATAAATTATATTTCCATGACTAAAGGAAAATCTGTATGTTCAAAGAAAGTAGAACAGAGGGATGTGAGGGACTACTGTCAAGCAGGAAAGTAAAAGGAAAATAGCTGTAGGCAGGAGAGCTGCCTGTGTGGGCTTTGATCTGAAGGATGAATTAGACTAATAGCCCTGTGTGTTGGCATCCAATACTGTAACAATTTAATAGTTTTTCAATGCTTTGGAGTGTTTTCCAACAAGTGATGTAAACCAAAGGCATCACGCACCATTTCAGGGGGACTTAAAAGGTGTGTGCCACATGATAATTAAATTATTTGAAGACAGCTCTGTCCCAGGAAATAGCCCCAGGAGGAAATGGGTTTTGGAAAAGAGAAAGCAAATTGGTGTGCAGAGAGTTACCCTGGATGAAAATATAAAAGCAGAACAACTAGCACTGCAACTTTTGTTTTCTGTAGCATCTTTCATACAAAGTATGTCCCCGAAACCCTTTTGGAGTTAAAGGATACAATTAGAGGAAAATTCATCTGAGTGATAAAGAGTCCTTTAAAATGATGCTTTAGTGGCTCCTAGAGTTCTGACAAAGATGGACATAAGAAGGCTTTTTGTGTGGAAAATAACAAGACATTGTAGCAGGGCATAGGAGGAAATACATGGCATGAGAAAAACATAAAGATGAGGTGTTTTCTTGGCAATATTAAACCAGAGAAGATAGCCAAAATAAAAATTATCTCCACTCTAAAATACATCAATAGGCATATGCATGAGGCATCCACTGCAGAGGAGGTGTTAATTCAAAGGGTCAGCTACTCCTGCCTAAGGCATTAGCAGGGCTTTAATACTGAGTAAGATAGAGGAGATTCAGTGGAGGAAAATGAAATATATAATGTATGATCTTCATTCATACTCTGTCCAGCTGGACTAGAAGGTTTAAAGTAAGGAAGAAGCCAAGTCACAAATATGGGAAGATTCTCCCTCCCTAAAACCCATGATCCTTGACACAAGTAGATGTTCACTTTGATTTTTAGCAGTGGTTCTTCGCTTTGGAGGTGTTTTACCTCACTGAAATTCCAATAACATAGACTAAAGACTAAAAAAGATCTTGCTTCTGATTTACAGCAATTTCAAAAAGCAGAACTGAGTTGTTTGACTGCTTTTACCCAATCTCTAAGCATCTTTTTTTCAGGTCTTTGTATTCTATTTACGAAAATTGGCTTAAGAAAAGTCAGACAGCACACTTTGACCAAAATCCTCACATATTTACTGACAGCATTTAATAGGTGAAATTTTCTGTAATGGCAATTAGAGCAAATGACTGCAGTGTCATGTATGTAGTCATGTTAATTATTCCTGTATTTTCTTGCAGGGGTGAGTGTAACCCACTTGTCCATCTCTAGCACATCTGCGATGTGCATTGCAGCTCATGGCCACTGTATTCCTCACCCACTCCAGTGGGAAATACACTTGGATTAAACTTCCATCTCAGCAGTTGGTTTGTGAGGCTGAATTGAGCAAAAGGAGTCAGATCTTGGGTTGGTGTCCCTGGGCATCACCTCAGGGTGAGCGGGACCATGGGTGGGTGGTGCAGGGGCAGCTTGCAGGACACAGGAAACTCCTGCCACTGCCATTTGTGTCACACATCGTCTGGGGACAGACATTATCTCTTCCTGAGAGCTGGAGGATTTGGTTTCTGGCTCTGTAAATATCACTATGTTCACCTGCTGCAAAGTCATGCAGACCCTAAGAACACAAGCCATTTCTGAGTCCTACAAGATCAGAAACAAATTATATATGATCGCTCATAAACTTCTTCTGAAACTCAGATATGCAAAACTAGCAGAATATTTCTCAAGGTAATTTTTAAAGCCTGCATGCTTGTATTTTATTCCCAAGTGAGTGTTTATGGTCCAATTATAATCCTTGAAAATAAAATTCATAAAGAGATGTTAACATGCTCTTGTATGTACCATGGTGGAGTGAGCAGGTGCCATGCTTATGGTGGCAGGACATGTTGTACAATAGTTTTTTTCCCAGCATCTGTGCAGCCATTACAGTTTAACTAGAGCAACTATAACTCACCCCTGTCATTATCATAAAAGCATAATTTTGCCAGGCTAGTGTTTTCTTATGCTGTATATTTTCAGAACACAAAGTTGTAAACCATTTGATTTGAGATAGTAAATAGGCAATAAAAATGCCGTGAAAGATTTGACTAATTTTTTTAAACATTGATATTAAAAAGTTATTTGCAATTTTTGTAATTATGACAGAGATCATGAAAGTTGTACATGAAATTCAGACAAGTCATAAATCCAAACAGGGCTGAATTACTGCTCATTATGGGATAACAGAATAACAGGGAGCAGTGTTCGGGACTGAATGCTGGCATTCCATCTTCTTACTGGTGTAGACTGGTGTCTCCCAGCAGCACAACTTCTGCTGTTTCTCAGCAGTTTGGTTGCAGTCTAGGACTTTATTCCAAACCTTTAAAATTTATCATATAATCATAGAATTATTTGGAATGGAGGGGACATTTTAAGATCATCTCATTCTACCCCCCTGCCATGGGCAGGGACACCTTCCACTATCCCAAGCCCCATCCAGCCTGGCCTGGGACATTTCCAGGGATGGAGCAGCCACAGCTTCTCTGAGCACCCTGTGCCAGGGCCTCTCCACCCTCACAGGGAAGAATTTCTTTCTTCTATTCATCCTAAATCTACTTTCTTTCAGTTTAAACCAGTGAAAACCAGTGGAGTCCTTCAGCAGGCTTTGAATCCCTCAACAACAACCTACACCAGCAGCAAACTGGTTTCTTTTTTGCACTTTTTAGTACAAGATCTGTCTCTCTGGTGAAGAAGAGAGTGGGGTTCTTGTGCAAGCAGGTTCTTGCGCACTTTTTCTTGTGGTTATTTTGATATGGGATGAGGAGAAGGAGATTTCCCCAAACTTGGATGGTATTTGGCTCTCCCTATGAGAGATCTCACGGCATTCAAGTTGGTGACCCTTTTTCCTAGGAAAAGGATGAGGCTTGCCTCACTGCCCACCTGAATTTCACCCTAATTTTCTCTCTGCTTCACCCACACCCATCAGCTGAATTCCTTTCCCTTCTGCATCTCCTTTGTGTTCACATGCAGGACTTCATGGAAATAAAATTTCCACCGCAATTTGTGGTTTTCTGCTGGAGTTCAGTGAGAATTGTTTATATTTCCTAGCTAGGGGGCTATTTGGAAAAGCATTCCTCATCTGTATGCCTTCTAGCTGCAGCAGTGTAGAGCTCATGCATAAAACACAGCACGTGTTTCTACCAAAACAGGAACGTGGATAAGAAACCTTCAATGAGAATCCATCACATCAGAGGTGGTAAATAAGTGAGCAACTACAGACTCTCAGACATATTATCCCTGCCCTAGCTGGATGAGGAGATTCACAAGGCACATGTGAAAATCCAGTTCTGGAGATTCTCAGTTGCGTTTTGGCAGTGAAAAATAAGAAAAGGAGGATTCCCAGGGTGAAAAGTCAGTTGTTCTACCTGCTCTAGTGTGGTGACTCTTTTGCTGTCATGGATTCATGGCTTCAGAGACAGGGGAGGGAGAATGTGGGGAAGTCTCCAGCTTTTAGACACTTACTAAGTGAAATTCTGCAATTTTTTAAAACACATTTTCTACTTAAACCTAAATGTAATGGATTTAATATTTTAAAAGCTTTACAAATAATTGGAAAATAAATAAAGAAATAATCACTTTTGGTTTGACAAAATTGTTTGGGTTGACCCAAAAGGACAATTAATTTTTTTTATTCTGTCCTTGGGTTGCCCAGCCTTTTTGCTGGAGGGGTGTTGGTGGTTAAAAGGATGCATCCCTGCTTCTCTCTTTGAAATGGGTACACAAGGCAGAGGTTCAGAGTTTGTGTGCTTGTGATTTGGTATTCTTCTTCTTCTTGGCAGCACAAAATTAAATCCCTCAGTCTGAGATTGCAGATAGAAACACAGGAGGGGATGTGCAAGCTTGCACCAGAGACCTGCCAAGCAATCACAGAATGGTTTGGGTTGGAAAGGACCTTAAAGCTCATCCCATTCCACCCCTGCCATGGGCAGGGACACCTTCCACCATCCCAGGCTGCTCCAAGCCCATCCAATCTGGTCTGGGACACTTCCAGGGATGGAGCAGCCTCAGCTTCTCTGGGCAACCTGCGCCAGGGCCTCACAGCCAAGGATTTCTTCTTAACATGTAGTCTATCCTATACATTTGTGGGATTTTTCCTGCCTCAGCCATGAAGGCCTCTGAAATCCTGATCCATGGGGCTTTTGGAGCCAAGAAGGAAGAGCTGGGGGGTTTGAAATGGGGGTGAGTTG